TTTAAACGTAGCTATACATTGCTTGCATTTTGAAGTTATCTACCGCTAATAAATTGTAAAAACTACGTGTCACGACAGCGCATTAAATTCAGTTCTTATTAGACTAGACCCAAACACTTATATACTTGATATAGGTATATCTGATTGCATGTAAGCCGAACATGCGCTAGTAAACTTTCTATTTGGTCTATTATTTTTTATATCAAGAAATGTATTACATTGATTTATGTAACTTTCAATATTAAATAATCGATTTCTAATGAGTCTTTCAACCTAACAATGCTGTAGTTCATGATATGATTACGAATTAAGTACTTACAATTACATACTTAACTTGAACTTGTCTTTGAATCTCTTTAATTACTTAGGTGGATATAAATTACTTTATTTACAAAAATAATAGAAAGAAATATTATCTGTTCAATTAATTGTAATCGCTATAATGTATAATAGATAGGTACCTAACTTAAAAGTAAGCAATCAAGTTTTTCGTTCACTAAAATAAAAAAGATTTCGTGACTAGCCTATTAACTTACTCGACTCGTTAATTTCCAACTGAAATCGCTAACGTTGCCTGATGGCAATGGCATGGAATATGTATTGATAGATATATATTCATTGTACCTAATTCAACTATAAATTCGTCAATAAGGAATTATTATATTACCTATTTTAGAAATATATTCCAAACTTTTTATATTATTCATTGCAAATCAAATAAAACCACTGTCTTATATACCTAATAATTGATTGCTTTCAAGGATAATATTATCACCACGGGATATAAGAATATACAAATAAAAGACACCTAACAATACTTCATTTTTAAATGTGAAACCATGACAAGAATCTAGGTAGTGTTAACAATGCACGATTGTTTACTTTTAAAATAACATCTTGTAGAACCAACACGATTGTTCAGTCAGCCGGCAAGCAGTTGACATAAATTGAAGGACTATTAATGAATTTTAATCTAAGTACATATATTTTTTCTGCTTGTAGATAAGCAGAAAAAATATGTCTAAATAAGATATACATCCATTTTAATAATTTACACACTTAAAAAAAGCGAGATTTATTAATCGAAAATAATAACGGTGTTCTCACCATACCTATGCAATGACGTCAAGAATTTGGTTCGACCTCATGTGCACAAATATCTACTTATATTCTACAATACTGTCTACAATAACCTAAAATATCTTATACGAATGTTAACTGTGTTTAAGGTGAATTTATTAAAATTATGACACCACATAAAACTATACATGAAAGTTAACCGTTCACGTGACTTGTTGTGTTTTATCGGCTTCTTATTATCATTGATCATTATTCCATAAACGGGATCGTCAACACTTCACTGGCATACGACACATTTTCTTCGAGAAAATGCGGTATGCGGTTAACCTTAGCGAGAGTGGGTGATCCATTGATTTTTCGCGCTGCACGTTGACGTCACAACCGCGACAGACCGGCGGCGCGCGCCGGTTCGCGTCTCACCGCTTACTGGCAAACTGAACCCAATCGAGAGGAAATGCCAGTTACCATGCGGTCCTCACTTGCTCCCCGTGCCACTCGCTGTTGACTTGACCTTCCGCATCGATTTGTACTGTCATAGCACAGCTGATTTTTAATTAGGTGCGTAGGGAGGGCTCAGTAGTCACCGTGGGAATGCCAAGTGCAGCGAATACACACAAGTATGCAGGTACCTTAATGATTGCACTTGGAGTATGTTTGTTTTCTCAGAAAGGTAGGTGTATACATAATTTGCCATAAACCGTGTATTTTGTATGAAGTTGTGTTCTTCAAGATTACTTAAGATGTGCCTATTTAGGTAAACATAATATACCAAGTTGGAAATGCGATTAAATACTTACGTATAAAATACTATCTAGGTAAATATATGTTCAAACGTAAAAGAGAAGATCGATTTTAAATTTATTTATCTGAAGTTTGCCTACCCGAATAAACACCTTATACTACGAGTATAACTAATAAAGCGCCTACGCTATTAATTTTAGCAAAGACGCATGGCGTTATATTCTGCCATGTATATTTATTTGACACAATATAATACGTAATACTTCTTTTCAATAATGCATTAAATTAAGATGTTTAATATAGAATGATTACAGCTAATTAGTACATCTCTAAACAAAGTGATAAAAAGAAAGTGAAGAATCAAATAAAAATACCATCAAATAGTGGTCCATTTGGTGTGTCACAATGTTTCTTCAGAGAAGTTTTTATACTACCTAGCTTAAATATATGTATTCATTTCTGTCAAAAAATAATAAATGTTAACATTAAATTATATAAATAATATATGACAGTGTTAGGCCTGACCGCTATTTACACTTTCTAGGTGTATTAAAATTTAATAAATAAATATCTTATATAATACTTAATTAATAAAATAGTTTTGTTTTTTTTATTTTTCAGTTCATATATTATAAATACAATATTTTTTACTTCTTAGTGCAACTGCCTACAACAAGAAACAAAACTTCACATAGATGTAACGAACATGTTATATTGCTATATACGAACGTCCAGGCGTTTATCAAAATTCCTAAGATGCAATTTAATCTTCAAGTGTTCCAACTATATTTTGATTGTCTAATTATACATATTAGCATATTTTGCTGTGTGATTCCGATATAGAATAGACTACCAATTCATTTACCGTGGGTGTCGTAAGAGACGACCAAGGAAACTTAATGGTCGAGGAATGGGTAGGAGCTCTTAAACCTTTGCCAAAGTCTAACTGCAGTTGCCAGACTGGCAAGACCTTCCAAATGGGGGTGGCCTATGTTCAGCAGTGGACAGTTAAAGCTGATGTGATTATGATAATGAATAGTATATTTTATTTAGGTTATGGTAAGAGGCTTGTTTTTTTGTATTTAAAGTAGTTATTAAAATTAAATGTACATACATTATATTTATATTTTTGTTTACTTATATATTTAAAATGGCAAACAAATTAACGACCTGCCTGATGGAAAATGGTAACCGTCACCTATAGACATGAACAGCACCATGAACACAACAGACTATACTGTATCACCCATGATATCCTGCATACTTCCCCCATCTAATTTCATTGCGATATCCCGTCCTTTTAACCATGCAAACACATTTACTTAATAGCAGAAACACGAATAGGAAAGTGATACCCAAGCAGATAACTTTATAAAGAAAGGACATTATAAAGCTATCATCTTGAATTGTTCCATACCTTTGATCTAATTTTAATTTACCTTATGTGCAGAAGTATTGTATAAATAATGTTCTCTCAGTCAATATGATTATTGATAGGTATATAAAATACTTTTACTAAACACCTAGTTAAATATAATTTCAATAGACTATAATGATAATGACGTAGAAACTTTAAACAACTACATGCACAATATCGTATCAAATCATTCTGCTTTAAAAACTAATATATATTGATAATCTTTAAAAACTAAAGCCAATAAAAATCTTATGTTTAGTATTCGTTACACTAATCACATATGACTATTATAGAAGCTATGTATTGTATAAATGTGATAATCGTCACCTACGGTTCCATTCCCGAGTTAAATATTAGGCGATATGTCTTGTTACCCTAAGTCCCATCATTTCACAATCACATCTTATCCTTCAAAAAGACACATAGACACATAATTATACAAAGCTACTTAGGGCCAGCAACACGAATGGTTTAGGAAAAATTACACCTTATTATTTTATTTATTACATAATTAAAATTTGTTTTATAAAGAAAGAAAGAAAGAAATATTTTTATCCAAGTAAACTCAGATTTAAGCAATTTTGAATAATCATTTCTTTATTACAGCCCATTGGGAACACAATTTCTCCCAAGAAGAACGGGCAAGAAACTCAGCTGTTGCTTTTTTTCAAAAAGTTTTACTATATAAATAATAAATTTGTGTGAATACAAACTACTAAGCAGCATCAGATCATAAAATTTAAAATATATAGTATATAATTAAAACAAATCACTAAAGTAAATCGGTTGCAATAACCAGAACAGACCAAACCCTATAGGCAGCAGCCGTTTACCTAATAAATTCTTAATTTAATATAAAAAATGTGATTTATCTTATAGAGAAAAATAAATAAACATTACAGTTGTTATGATTACCACGCTGTCCAAGAATAACAAAATCAGGGGAAGATATAGTTAGTAATGGGAAAGTTAGTCCTCATTGCTGGGAATGTATCCTGTCTGGTCGAATTCTCATTGAATTTGACACGATGGGCCATTTGATCTGACTTCATTCTTATCTATCATCACTCACTGGTACTCCGACAACGTATATCAATAGCGCAGGCGGGATTATTCTAGTTCAACTCATTAAAAAAAAACTATCCTAATCAATAACATTACAACCAAAAAATACTTAATTTATAAAAAACGTATTTAGTATAAGGCGAGACGCTATTAGCTTTAATTAGTACTTTGCCTGTTATGGATAATAGCTGTAATTTTATAGTTTATTAATAAATATTACGTTTTAGATAGTTGTTTTTAACTAATTGCAATATTAAACTGTACATAGTAAAAAAATAAATTTTACCTACAGGTCGTAATAAGTATACTAAGTTGATGTTTACTGATGGAAACTGAACAACTTTCTACAAAGATCATAATCAAAATCACGAAATACCTATTAAAATTTATAAACCGCATGGCCACATGATCAATTTACTTAATATAAAAGATAAAGATATATATACAAACATAAAGAACATATCGGTAACTAACGTAGGTTCATTCAATGTCTGATAATTGTGATACATATTAAATGTATAGAATTTAAATTACTGACGTAACTTATTGTAACTAATTTCCATGGTTAGTAATTTATCATGTCTTCTGTTTAAAGGATTATTCCATGTATGCAAGTAATATGTATATGAAAATAATACAGTAAAATAAATAAATATATATATGTTAAATACCAAACAATATAGAATTAATTACTTACGTAATAGGGGGAAGCGGCTAGTGGAATGTTTCCCGAGTGGTGTACTGGTGGCACTAATGTCGCTCTGGGAACTATGCAGACTGCTTTTGCCACTGCCGTTCGCGGAGCCAATCTCCATGCGCATACGCATGTGACGGCTGTAAACAATACAACTCTTCAATGTACATAATAACTTGTTATATATTTTAAATAAAATAATCATAGTATCATCTCACCATTTATGGAAACAATTGACATACTTTTAACAAAAATATAAATATAGCTTAGAAATAATCTGGTTAAATCATATTAATTTTTATCCCTTATGATCCTACATATTAATTTAAAGAATTAAACTTGATTACATATTTGTGTAAGGTAAAATATTTAATATTCTTATTGTGTATATGTTATGTACAATACAATACAGTAATAGAAAATGAAATCTTTGAACTGCTATTGACAGTTCTCTTTCTCTCTCGCTCTCTCTCAAATTAAATGTAGTAATTTATAATTTCCAAAATCATCAAACATTGCAAGTATAAGCTATAAAAATGTATATACATATGTATACTTTATACAAAAAATTAACTTACCTCTTCGGCTTCGGATTAGTATTTGTAGACTTTGAACTTAACATTCTAGTAACACTGCATGCTGTCTGTGATCGTTGTAATGAAAAAGTGCAGTCCACTTTAGACTTTATGTCTTTATATGACTTCGTTTTGTAATCATTCTTAATATCTAATGAATTTTTTTTAGATAATATCTCTCGTCTATCCATCTTTTTCACTGCTTTTGGACTACTTTGTACACTAACATCAGCATCTGTTTTTCTGTTTGCTAACATCGTCTTCAATTTACTTGGCACATCACGTTTAGGCATTTTATATTTCTTCAAAGTAAAACTCCTTTTTTCTTCTTTATTTTTTTCACTTGTTCTTACATCTTTTTCGCTATTTAAAGAATTTCTTTTACTTACATTTTTCGAAGTATCATCTTCAATGACGACGTGTGCTAAAACAGATTTTTGTTCTTCCAATGTATCTTCTAGTGGCGCAAAATATGCATGAATATTTCCAGTACTGGCATTTTTTTGACTACATTCCGATCTAGTCGATGGGGTGGAACCTTCTGGTGACATATCATCGATTACGTTTAGGAAAACAGGAGAAGCTCTATGATTTTCAAAGTCTGTATAGACTCCACTCGATTCCATACATGAATCGTCATTTCTATTTACTAGTAAAGGAGGATTTCCATTGCCATTCTTTCCTCCGTAAAGCGCTCCATCTATAACTTGAGCTCGGCGGTCACCTCTTTGCATGTGATCATCTAAGCCATCGGCATCGCTTTCTGTGAAAAAATCTGAATCTGTCATAGGATCTGCTCTTCTAGTAACGGGTACATTTTGCCAATCCATTTCTATAACATCTTCTCGTTGTTCTATAGAATGGTCAGCTCCCCTACTAACTGGCCTTGACATTTCACCATCACCTTGATAACCATCTAAACTCGTTATGCTAGTAATACTTGTAATAAAACTATTTGATACTTTCGATGTCTCCATAGATTTAGGATAATCATTTTTACTGTCAGAATATGTTTGAGAATCATGCAAAGTGGAGGCGGAAAACTGAGAGTATGTACTTATTTCACCATGAAGGTCTGAACTATCCAATGGTAAATCTTCAGGTGAAGGTGTTTGATCAATTCTGTTAACTACTGTGTTATTCCCATGCTTGGAATTAAGTGGTATTTCTAAATTAATCGTATTTTCCGCTATAGAACTAATAGGTTCTAAAATGCTGCTATGAATTGAAGGCATGAATTCTTCATCAACCAAATTTGGAACAATATCATCCTTAGATATATCATTTGGATCACTTTCTAAATGCGCTTCTTGTTCATAATTAGAAACTGAGGATTCTAGCAAAGAACCTCCAGATATAGTATCAAAAGTTTGCTCGCATAAATTTTGAGTTGAATTATTGTAAGATGTTAAGAAGTTAGTTTCTTCGTTTGTTATTGTTTCTAAACTTACAATTGGAGCACGTGAACTTCCAAATATACACTTTTTATTATCATTATCTATATTATCAAATCCATCATTTTGTATAGTAGAAGCTGCCGAATTACTTTCAGTCTTATCGGTTGAAGGAGTGTCCCCGTTATCTGGTGATAATTTATTAGAATCATTAGTACCACAAAATATTGGAAGACCTTCCACTGTAGGAGAAAATGCATTTTCCAAGTAACAAATGTCGTCCATCTGATCTGGAGTTAATATGCCTAAACTATCGTCTAGTGAATTCTCTTCATTGGTTCTACTTAAGGAATTGTCATTTGGACTTAAATTAGATTCAAAAGTTCGTGAATGAATATGTGATTTTAATTGTAAACATAGATCAGACCTCGAATGTGTATTAAATAACTTTTTAACTGGATAATTGATTTCATTTTCACATGAATATTCAAATTCTCTCATTGGTTTATCATCAAAGTTCAAAACATTTGGCAGTCTGTCTGAATTTTTATCAGAAGTGTCAACAGTTTTTATATCATTACTTTCTGTTTTTCTGTTCCACACATTTACATCACCTTTTTCCTCGCGTGACGTAGAAGGATCAGCCTTAAGATCAAACAAAAGACTGTAAGGTCCCGATTCATCCTGATCTTTATCATCAACTAGTTGTTGAGTAATGTCATTTATCAGTCCTTTAGTCTTTTTATCAACATTTCTGTCTTGTTTCTTCGTTATCGCATTTAATTTCTCGCGTAAATCCAAAATCCTAGGATTTTGTTCCACTACCTTTTCTAAATTTAAACTCATTTTTGGTATTAAAGACGCATAGCTTTTAGAAAAGATATGTTCCTTTAATTCTGTTTTTGAATGTTCGTTAACATTTTGAGATTTTTCTTGTGATGTCTTTTTAACTTCAACTGTATCCAAAGAGTCTAAACTTTTTATTTTGGAATGATTACTGGAATAAATCCCTCGTAGTTCTAATGATCTTAGTCTGCCACTTTTTTCCACGGGGATCTGAAATTAAATATAAATAAGATTACTATATTATAAATTACAAAAACGTTTTATAACATACATTATCTCATTAAAATATTTAAATTTCTTATGTATAACAGTACACACTTTTGAGCACGTGTCCGACTACTGCTTGCTACTACATTATAACTCAATGTGCCCGCCAGTTGCTCATCACGGTTCACAGCACGGTTACGCATGGTGATTTCAATGCATTTGTACAGTTGTATAAATTACATTGTATAGGTACTTCATATATACAGCTCATGAATTTTTATTGCTCAAAACGAACGTGCATTTTGTGCAATAAAATGTCAAGAATAATAATTTTTTTATAACGTCTCTTTCATTAAGCTAAATCCATTGAGGTGAATTGATTTCAATAAAATTGAAATCAATTTACCTAATCGATAACTGTACAATGGGCCACAATCGAAACATTTATTAGGAAGAATTTTAAACCATTTAAATAGTAAGTATGTTAAATATTAGTAGTAAGTACATAGATATGTTGTTTAGATTCTTAAATATCTTAGATATCTACTATAAATATAGGAACCTAATTTAAACAAACCCCCATGTTAAAAGACGCTTTTATATTTATTTTTCTAATTTATATCATTAATTATATTTCAATACATCACTCTACTTCTAACGCAGTAGCACTTGATTCTATAAGAACAGTAGAATTAGTTAAGAACAGTAGCATTCAATACGCATAAAAACAATCAAACCATAAAGTTTATGCGTAATACATCAGAGGAGTTGCAAGTGTGTATTTTGTCTTTTTTCGAGTTATGTCTGTTAGTACAATCACATATATGTACATGAAAAAAAGGAAACAACACAACATCTAATATCAACAATCAATAATATAGTCACACCAACTAGAAACTAGAATTTAATTTTCGAAGAGGATACAACGTACACTCGGCAAGATAGATATCAATCAGAGCGCAAAGTCACGATTATAAACGATAATAGGAAATGTTGTCTACAGAGAGAATTGTTGTCCCGACTGAGACGCAACCGATACTTTTAAGACTGATTCCGTTGAAACCTCTGCATTATTTACAGTCGCAATACAAAACGCAAATTAGTAAATACTTTTAGATTTCCTCTGTTAATTTATCATTTCATCCACAAATATCATAGTCTATTTAAATTAAATAAACTATAAATAAAATAGGGCGATTTTTAACATTTTCGACCCGTTTCAACCCTTCTAATTTAAATTTCTCTATTTCATCTTAACTGGTAAAAAGAAAGAAGTCATCTTACATAATTTTATTTCGTCGAATTTCTTTTAATATGAGTATAATAGTTTTTACGATATTTCAGGTGGGTTGGTGTGCAGGAATTAAAAAGTCCATCTTACACGAATCTTAATAGGATATGCTTTGTAAAATCTATAAAAATAAAATTAATAGTTTAGTTCTTAATTTACGTGCTTAGCGAAAAACCTACTATACTTAGAGCATAGTGCAAAGCAATCCTAATATGATTGTAAACTCTTTTAAATTCCAATACGCAATGTATAAGGACTTTTAATAGTCAAAATATCTTAATATTTAATAAAAATTACCTAGCTCTATCTAGTACCAGTAGTAATAGTGCGGTTTCGACCTTGCGGACACATTACTTCTTAGTTTTGTAGATTTAAAAAAAATGACACTAAAGTTAGTTATAATGTTATTTAAAATCTGTAAAATATTTCTAAATATTACCGTTAATTTATAGTTATAAAACCTTATATAATTACATAATTTATAAATTTCTAATAGGTAAACTTTTTTATGCAACTTTATTATGGGTACACGATAGCAAAATTTTTAGTTTTTTACGTTACAGTTTTATCATAAATCTTATCTAGAATTGTAAACATCATTCTTATCAAAACCCTTGAACCTATGTAATTGGCTCCACTATCACACTATTCGGATGCTTATGATATTGTTAAATTTCCATACAGTACCTAAACTACTTACCTTAGAATACATAATTACTTATCATTAATATATTCAAATTAGTGATGCTGGAGGCTGTTGGCACTTGAAAGAATTTGAAATTCATCTTTATAAATAAGGATACTTGAAAACTATGGAAGTAGTACCTACATCTACAAGTGTTTTTACTTGTTATCACACATATCATTAGGACAATTATCATTGTACTTATAACTGACTACATGTATGGTACAAAAAAGTAATGAATAAATAGTAAATTTATTTCAGTAATATATTTTCGATGTCATGTGAATTTCTAAAATAACATATTATATATTATAATTTTATAATAACTGAGTATTATACTACTCTTATAATATTAATACACATATAAATCAATACAAAGTGATATCTGTATTGAGATCAAGTAATTTATAATGAAAGTATCTGCTTACATGCAGATCTCAGTCACGATTCTGATTTACCAACTTTAGGGTGTATATTGTCAAGGCAATAGGTATTAGTTAATTCTATAGTCCAATCGTGTGGTCCCAGCATAGAATATACTAACAATTCCTTTCCCGTGAGTGTCGTAAGAGGCAACTAAGGAAGGACGAGTAATGGGCAGCAGCGTCCCTCTTAAAACATCTTCAAATCCTAACCGCGGTTGCCAATCCGCCTGCCAAGCGTGACAATACTGCCAGAACCCCCTAAGGAGAGGCTTATGTTCAGCAGTGGAAAGTAAAAAGCTGATAGAATGATGATGATAGTCCAATCGACGAAATAGTCATGCGTAATCATTATGTTAAACACATTACAAATAGTGACGAAAGGAAACAGTCCAATATTCATGGTCAGTAAATGAGTAACTATGAAATTAAACATTTGTTTTATTGGGTTATAAGCAAATATCAAAATAAAGAATATTTTTTAAAATACATAAGCATCAATTTCTTGACGTGCGTGAGTAGCGCATGCAATTTATAACCACGGCAACGACGACAGAGCCAAAAAATACCGGTTTTGGATGTGACTGATAAGATATGACATGGAGATGCAGACTACACGTCGTAGTCGACATAAGTACTTATAACCTAACCAAGGTTATATGACATGTTAAAGGTAGAAGTACATTATCACAATTTTCAACACATACATAGATATCATTAACACAATTTTCAAATCAAATTTTAAACTATAACTCGCGAATTTTTCCGCTTGATGTACATATTCGAGATTGATAAGACATTATCTAAATATGTTTTTACTTTTCGTACTTAAATCGTCGCCTAAAGCTTGTATATTAGGTAAATCGATCACAAGACCGTGGAATTTGTACCGATGAAACCATGAAGGGTTTTTTTTTCATAGTAAAGTGAAAAACAACATGTAACATGAAATGTGGCCGTCACAAATTTCACACAAATAGGTAACTATTTAGTATCTATCCTATAAATTTTAAAACTTGTCTATGGCTATTTGAAAAATCTTAAATAATTACTTACAAATTTAAGAATAGATATTATGTACATTGTTATTATAATTTCATAGTTGAAACGGATAATAATTAATAACTAACACGAGATACTGTGGCTTCGCCTCTGTGAATCTGAATATAAAGTATCCTTTGTTCTTATCTTGAATATAGCCTTCCGTATAAAGGAGGTTTTGCCAGTAGTTGCCACGCTTAGTAAGCGGGTTGGCAACCGCAGTTAGGGTTTTTGTAATATTCTAATAGGGAGGATATTGCCTATCCCTCCATCATAAGCTCCCTTAGTCGCCTCTTACGATACTCACGGGAAAGAAAGGAGATGGCCTATTTTATGCCGGGATCTACTCAGCTAATGGGTATATATATTAATATATATATACGTTTGTTTATCTAATAAATACGTAAATTCCAACTTCGACATCACATTTTAACAAAATAAATAAACATTTTTAATAATGTTTACTATTCCAAGTTGAGTACAAATAGATTTTGTTCTACAAAAAAGTAAATAACGACTTCAATCATGACAAAACCAGTTATTTTGATTTAAAAACCAAAGTACTGAACCGATTTTCATGAAATTTCTTTGGAACCAATCTAAATACTTTTGAATAAAACAGAATTTTCAAATCGAATTATGAGGATAATTTAAAGTAAACATAAAAACCGAATTGAAAACTTCGTCCTGTATTTTGAAATTGGTTAAAAAAATTTCGATGTACATCAGTTAAAATTAGGCCAAACTGTCAGATATTTTGTTTCTTCTTTTGTGTGAGGTAACGAAAATGTATAAACATAAATCTGATTAACTGCTTTTACTTAATGTAACTTAACACGTAGTAATTGAGGAGAAAGGGATTATTAATAATGGGGTCTAACGACCATTGCTAGCAATATACTCTATCAGGTCGATCTACACGCAGTTCCCCCAGGGAAACCATTATGCTTAACTCTTGAATTCATCAAGAGGGACTAACTGACTTGCCTTGATCTTGATCTATCATCATTCACTGGTAGGGTACCAGTGAATTATGCCAGTATATACCGACAGCGCAAGCGAGACCATTCCATTTTCACCTATAAAAAATATATGGTAATACAAAGACACAATACCTTAGATCTCATTAATGGCAACGCAGGAAGGGTAACGTAGGCAACACAGTATACTCTATTCATGGTACTGTTCATGTCTAAAGGCAACGGTTACCACTTTCCATCAGATGGACCGTCAACTTGTTTGCCATTCTAAATTGCACAAAAAATGTGCTAATTGTATCAGTCATCACATCTTCTCTCAAGTCGGCAAACAAAGGTCTTAACCTTAAACCTACTATGGGTATGTTATATAACCCCCAGTACATTATTATTATAATAAAATTGTAATTAGACTATGTGTGTACATGAGAGATATTTAAGAAAGACAATGATAAGAGGTCTTAGTGTGACCAATAAATGCTAAAACAATATTTTTTTTAAATTTTATCTGTCGTCTGTTTGTATGTTCCGGCATCAAGCAAAACTTGTGCACCAAACTGGATGCGGTTTTCACTGTTCTATTCCTG